CTGTATTTTCATGGTATGAGAATACGTGACCTCAAGCACTGAAACACTTTTTTTTTCTCCCATATCCTCCGATACCATTTGTGCTGTATTCCAGAAAGAACTGTTTAAATTTAGTGGTTATTAAATCATCAATATCCATATAATCCAATTTAGATATAAAAGGGAGAAATTATTAGCATGACCATGACTTTCAGCACTGAAGCCTCGATTCTCTGCATCTTTTTACTTCAAACATCTACAAGACAAAAATGTGACCTTACTGACATTATAGCGCAGTAGAAGGGAGGTCTAGAGAAGGCACGAGTCATTCACAAGCCTGTTTCAGGCTTGGATAAGTACCCTAAAATGTAAATGCTGGACAATTCAACGTATGAACAATTTAAGAGAGATCTGTAACTTAGAAGCAATTTCCATATCCACAGTATCCTCAGAAGGCTAAGCACAATTAAGAAGTCACCACTTAATAATTTCAAAATCTTACTGATTATTTAAGGTTCTCTGTGATCTTAAAAAGGAAACTTCCTTGATATTTATGCCTATAAACAAAAGTAAATAATTGAGAAACAAATAATTATATAATAGCAATTTTTTAAAACAATGAAATTACAGAAAATAAAGTCCAGCCCTTGTCTATTTGGTGGGAAGTATTCATCACTGACTAGTCACAACAAGTGAAGATCAAGAACACAAAGAAATTTTTTAAAAATTCAGACCCAGAACCTAATTATTTTACTATTAAACAAAACGCACCACTTAATAAAATAAATTTAAACTTGTATAATAACCTGGCATTAATTCCCAGTGCAGCTTGCACTTTTTTTTTTTTTTTTTTTTAACATAAAATGGAATGTAGATCGGGTCTGCCAGGCAGACCACAAGAAAAAAAAAAGAAATAACAAATTTTAGATAGATAGTTGCAAATTACATTCTACAATTCAGCCATGTTAAGATCCAATGACAAAATACAGCACCTGAGCTATCTTTATGATGGTATGGATGGTATTTCAGTTTGGATAATAGTGTGCTATTTTGAGAACTCATGTTTCGGAAGGAGGAATAGGCACAGGAAATAAAAGTCGAGTTGTCTAACTATCATATGAAAGCTGATTAAAAAAACGCATCTTTAATTTACCAAATGAGATCCCATAGGGAAAATGACTGTAGCCTATAAGAACAGAAGGGAATAAACATCAGTGAGTAGATTAAACTGAACTATGTCTTTGTCTTGACACAAAAATAAATAAATTAAGTGCAAATGCAGGGAGTTGAAGAAGTTAAAGTTGCCAAGCATTAAGGAGTGAAGGGACAGAAAAACGAAAAAATCAAAATGAATGAAAGAGCAAAAAGAGCAAAAAAAAAATTCTTTAACTACTTTTAAGACCGAGTTCAATATGTTTCAAAGGGCTTATATGATGTGCTATCTGTAAAATATCCTTTTAAATCCTGTGTCTCCTAATCATAGAAGTCAATCACAATTTCTTAAAAACTGAAATGTGATGTTTCTTTTCAACATCTCATGTTCTGCTCTTAAAAAGTCTTAGTGAAAAATTCACAATAAGAGTATTTAAATATTCATGACCTGAAATGAAACAATGCTATTATTAGGTTTCATTCACATTATATATAATGCATAAATGTTGTTTAACATCACGCCATTGTGCAGCAAAGAGGAACACATCTCCCCTCCCCAAATACACTTAAATGAATGTAATTACCTCTTAACCTATATTAACAAAATCACATAATCATACTGTTGACTGTTTCATTTTACATTAACATTTGACTCTACGTATTTACCGATTATGAATGAATGCATTAATCTTTACTTTTCCAAAGTAGTCCTATGTAGAAATAGTATCACACATCTGAATGTTTTGTATATTCTAAAACACTTCCTTGTTGAATACAAAACTACTTGTTTGTGAAAGCATTTTCAAACAAATCCTGTTAAGTCTGAATATGGTTCACTAAGCAGCATGATCTCATTAATAAAACAAGTTGCTAATCTAGTAAATCAAAATGCTCAGCTGTTTTAATGGTTTATCTAATGGAAATTCTAATGATCTCTTCTGTTGGCCTCCTAGAAGCCTAATAATTTTCAAACAAGATCCAGCAAAACAAAGAAAGAACCAAGGAAGAGAATGGGAACAATGCAACTTCAGACTAAACATTCTTTCACAAATAAATGTTAACTAACATTGGGTCTGCATTCTTGAGGTGGGTTAGAATATTTTCACGCTATGTGAATTTTCATTAGAAAGGTAGTTTCCTCTGTTGTACTGAACTAAATGAAATGTTTGAGAGACAAATTTGTGAGTTCCTAGGATTTCTAACACTACTGAAAAAGGAAAGAAAAAAAAAAAGCTTGATGGACTGCAAAAATAAGATCTTGGTAGAAATCCATTCTGCAAACATATGTCCAAAATGTTCTCGTATATTGCATAAGAACATAATAAATGTATAACAGACGAGAAGGAAGCTAGGTTACAGGGAAATGTAAAACAGAAGCAGTCTTGTTCTACACTGAAATTTAACCTTTTGCATAACCAGGCATCATCCCAGGATCTTTCAGTGTGATATTTAATTTGGTATGAACTTCTTTCTCAATGACGACAAGGAAATAATTGTTGGGACTGTGAGATGTGCTATACACCCAGTGCATTTATAACATCTGTAATACATCTTACCTCGGTCTGAGCACTCTCAGAAATCAACCTCTTCTCAGAGAGAAAATATCATTTTAGAAAGGAGTTGGAAAAAAGGAGACAAATACTTTTTCAACGTATCTGTTTTTTCCTAAGTGCTCGATTGAAGCTGCTCAAGAATACCAGAATAGTGCTGAGAAGGGTCTTGGAGCAAAGGCAAAGCAAAGAAGAAAGAGTAAGGCTTTGTGATGCTGTATTACTATTTGTCACACAGATACTCATGTCTTACTGTAGTATTTTATGTGTTTTTCAAAGTGTCGTGGTTTAAACCAGCCAGCAACTAAACGCCACACAGCCGCTTGCTCACCCTCCCCCATCCCCAGGGAATAAAGAAGAGAATTAAAGGGGAAAAGGGAAGAGACTTATGGGTTGAGATAAGAACAAAATAATAATAATAATAATAATAATAATAATAATAATAACAACAACAACAACAACAACAACAACAACAATAATAATAACAAATAATACAAACAAGCGATGCACAGCGTAATTGCTCACGACCCAGTGACAAGGCCCGGCCTGGAGAATTGATCTCGAAACAGATAAGTCCCAACATTGCAAATCCAGATGAGTGAGAGTCATGAAAAGAGAAAGAAAGAGAGAGTACCCCAAGAGCCGAAGAGTGAAAGCCCCCAGAAGAGCAAAAACCCTTTTTTCCGGTCAATCCTCATTTTTATACTGGGCATGATACTGCATGATATGGAATACTTCATTGGCCAATTTGACCCTCAATCCTAAATCTTAAGTTCAAATCACAGGGGAGTTGTGGACACTTCATCCAGACCATGCTCTCACCCAGCCTGTTGTGCTCCTGCACACTGGCAGAACACAAGAAGCTGAAAAGTCCTCGAGACCTCAGTGCCAACTACAAACATCAGTGCGCTATCAGCATTCTTCTTATAACAAATCTCAGACTAAAGCCAAAACACAGAGCTCTTCTAGCTGCTAAAAAAGAAGAATTAACTCTGTCCCAGCTGAAACCAGAATACAAAGAAATGTTTAAAACTATGGGACTGTGAAAGAGAGATGAAATTTCAGTGGAAATACACATGTGCTCTGCTACCTTTTACATATGCAATAAAGAGCATCTTTAATTCCTTGAAGACGTTGTATTTTGTCAGCCAGATCTTAGAATTTTCCATTGTTCAAAGAGTTGATAATCATTTGCAGAAAAATAGTTACCTGCCATTTTAACTGCTTCAGCTTAATGTATTACTTAACAATTATATTTTTTTTAATACTTGCGCCATATGATTTGCTTTCCTTTTCAGTTCAGCAGTTTTACAGTCAAGAAATAGCAGCCTAAATCTTAATAAGGTGACTTTAAATATTAAAATTCAAAATACATGATTTATTTTTTTTAACTGTAGGGTAAAAAGTAGATTGGTGTTGCATTCGAAACAAAAATGTACCTTTAATATGAAACAGACTTAACTTCTTTCAACCTGAAATCCAGTAATTCAATCCAGCAATTCAAATGTACAAACACCGACTAGTTTAACATTTATTTTTTTTTTTTTATGCATAGGTTGTAATTTATAACACGAATCCAGAGTTTAGTCAAGCCACGTTATTCAGCTGAACCTATCAACTTGCAAAACATCAGTTTAGAATTAATTCTTCATACCTATTACCATTTCAATCATAGAAGAGAGAAATGAAACAAACTACCAAGAAACTAGAGTTGTTATTTTCCTTATGATGCTCAAAGAGCTTGCAAGATGAAAAGCATACAAATTGGAACTGGACACATAGGAACTAAGTGGCTATTCTGTCACACTGCATTTCACAAAAAGCATCCTCAAGGTTCTTTGATTAAAACATGAAACAGGCAAAATAAGCAATACTTGCAAGACATAGTTCATGGAATATCTCTTGTACAGCTCAAAGATTAATAACATTTCTTCCACAAGATTTTAAAATTGTCTGATACTTCTGCTGGTTGTATCAATCAAACAGAGATTAACGAACAATTTAAATAAAAACCAAACAAGCATATAACTATGGAAGTAGCACAATATACCATGTTACCCTGTATTTTACTTCTTTTAAAAATGTATATTAAAACAAACTAATGAAAATTCTTAGTTAACAAGGACAACAGAAATATCTGACCAAAACTGCCACTGGCCACTCAACACTAGAAACCCTCTTTACCATGAAGTGCAAAACTGCACAGAGTACCTAGACCTGCAAATTTCTAATCGCTGCAGAAAACCAGGAAATGGGTTAATCAAATCATACCTGGAGAAATTGGTTGGTTTTTGCATGACCCACGTCTCCAGCCTCTATCTGTGCTCTCGACAGCTTCTCTTCAGTTTCAGTCAGCCAATGATTAAAGATCTTCATGTCACGATGAAAAAGTCGCCACTTTTCCAAAGATTTGTCAAATCGTCTGCAAGCATAAAAGGAGATGAAATGACTATCTATTGATACTTTATTGATTGACTACAGAAAAAAAATAGAAAAAGAATAATGTTGGATGCCTCAGGTTAAATTTGATGTGATGTTGATGGCATCATATGTTAGCACTTCTAACATATCAAATGGAAAACTGGTAGCACTTCTGAACAATGAAATTACAAAGCTTATGTGTCACAAGTCAATGTCTTACCAATTTTTTTAATCCTTTTCACTATTTCAAATGAATTCTATGGTCAAAACACGTTTTCAGTTTACAGCTTTATTAACCCACATCAACTCACATCATAGGTACAATACTACCAGGCCACAGTGTAACTGGGTATACCTCTCTGTTTAGATTCTAAGATGAAGAAAACACCAGTGCTGATAAAAGGCTCCTAATGTACGTTAGTAATTTGCTGTGGCTACCAACACTACAAAGAGTCACTGCTGGCTAACATACTGGCTGTGTGTTGTGGCAATACAATGATTTTTAGATCCTTTTTCAAAGGGAAAATAACTTAAAGGATCTGTGATGCATCTGACCTACCATATCATGAGACAAAAGATGAAAAATCAGTAGACAGATTCTTAAAGTCTTACTTCCCAACTTTAGTCCCATGATCCTATTAAAGGATTTTTTTTTTCATTTGTAGAAATATGAATTGCAATATTCTGTGTAATACATATGCAGAAGACTACCTTTTTCATGGAAATTGCTGTGGTGAGAAACTACCCGCAAGGATTCCAGGCATATACTACAATTCCGCTCCAGTTTTACTGAGAGAAACTAATTTTGCCTGCCTCTCCAATGGACACAAATGTCCACTTATTATTATTGCAAAGAAAATGCAACTCTCTTCAAACGAATTTTTACTTTTATTGTGTAAACGTATCCTTTATTAAACCCTTCTTTCTATACATGTTTCACTGTAATTTCAGTATTTGATAAAGATAGTTGTACAAAAATAAAAATGCCTGGAATACAAGGATGACTGAAATAAATTTAAAATATTTAAAAAATTATTTTGTATAATAAGTAAGGATGAAAAATATTACTACCACATCTGCAAGTCTAGGGTCCACTACATAAAAGACCATGTATACTTCTGGCACTTCAGGAAGATCTAATCTGTTTTTGTCCAGAGTGACTGATTGATCTTCAATCTGTTCAAGATCTGTTTGCCTTAGCCACTGTCAAGTACTGAAGAAATGAAATGAAGACAGAATTTGCAGTTGTGGTGGTTTTTTTTTTTTCAGATGGCCTATGTCTTAAGGAATTCAGTTATCCTAAATTTTGGATTGCTGTTGAAATGTGATCACTAATCAGAGATTATCTAGAATGTTTTATTAGCAGATCATCATTAAACATGCTACTGTTGTTTAGTTTAATAATCCTCCTTTGAGGGATTACAATAGGTTTTAGGGTATACTTAAAAGATAAAACCAAAGATGCTCAATTATTTTTCTCGAAAGTAATCTGGTTATTTATCGACAAACTATATGATTATTTGAATGTTACAGAATTTAATTCACCAAATAAAATCAGGTTACTATCAGGGAATACAGACCATCTCTTCCATTGTACTGATGATTATTTTTGGGTTTGTTTTTTTTTTTTTTAGAAGGAAATATACGTTTTTCTTCTCTTGTACTGGTTATATATCCCCACTTTTGTTTTCACATTTTAAAATCTTTTAATACCATGCAGTATGAATAGCAATATATCCATTCATAAGCACCTACAGAAGGTTATATATTTTTCCCTAGACCTCCTTTTCTGGTAGACAAAAGATTTCTTTTGCTGGACATACCCATATAAAGATGCAGTTTTCTGACTTCTAACATAATGCACATGGTAATCACTTTTGATGAATGGTACACAAAATAGAGTTGAACCAGCAACAGTGAAACAGAGACTTTGCATTTATTTTGTTACATTAAGTATAAGTTAGGAAAATATAAGGCACATAAAAACCTCATAATCAGCAATCTATAAGAATGATTTTTCAAAAAATAGAATAGAATATTCTATTTTTAGAACAGAAAAGAAAAAAGTATGTGAACACAGAAAGTAGTTGAAATAAAAGTATTCCTTGTAATGTTCTAGTAGTTAGTCACAAGATGTTGAGAGAAAAATAATAATTATTTAATTAAAACTTGTAAAACACATTTTAAAAGCACAGAGAATACTTTTCACGGTCTAAATTCTGCATAGAAGAGTAGTCCTCTAACTGTCTATGAAACAACTGTCTTTGTTCCTTCAGTAGAACCTGATTCATGGGCCCTGAGGTTAATAGCTGCTAAATGCCAGAATTTTTATTTGATTTAAAAGAGAATAGTTACTGCTTAGTCCTATACAACCCAAACGTGCATTCCAAACCATAAATGACGTGTTCAGTAAATTTTGTTAGAAATGGACACAGGCAAACTATCAGAATAGATCAGGTAATCTTTATTCTATTGATTTTAATATGGCTGCATGTCTGATAAAACCACAGCAAAGAAGGTGTCAGGGCTCAGCACTGATTGATCAAATGATCAGTTATGCCATTAAGAGTGATGCCAGATAAAGACAGAGAAAGATGCAGCCTGGGACAAAACAATCCTTCATAACATTCATAATACAGAAGCTTCCTAGTTAAAAATAAAAAATATTTAAGAAATAAAAAGACTTCAAGATCAAAAAGTTGTTTACGGAAGGACTGCTCTAAGCCTTTATAGGTTGATAGCTTCCCACAGAAGCTGACATAAATCTCTCTGTTCCCTGTAAATTCAAGCTATAGTAAGTTTTTAGTATACTGTGAAGCTGTTATTTAAATAGCATTCTCACAGATTTTATTCTGGAACCCAGTATCAACCATCTAAGAAATTATTAGAAAAGACCAAATACAAAATAATCAGTGTGCAAAACCTGTATCTATTTAAGAATGAAAAATACAGAGATTTATAGTAGTTTCTACACAGTAGTAGTTGATGTAATATTGCTGTTGAGGCATCAAAATGAGTGCTACAAAACATATTTCAAGAATAGACATAGCTCATGCACTCAAAATATTTTTGTTGAACACATTAGAGAAAAGAATCATTTGAAAACGCATCTTACAATAAAAGTGCTATGGTAATCAAACATCTCATATACTGCTATAACATCTTATACCACTGTAGCTTTCTTCTGTGTTCTCTTACCTTCATACAGTATAACCCTCTTCAGATGGCTAGGTATTTGTTTCCATCTTTGCTCTACCAATTGTGCCCTTTGCATTTTTCTCTCCTTATGAAGCAATGCCAACTGGAGGCATCACAGTTTTCAAATCACTGGCTTGAATGTAGTCTGTGTTTCATTGCCGTTATGAAACCTGACCACAATCTCAGTAAAAATCTTACATATGTTTAAATTATGTTTGAAGAAATACAGTTAGGTTCCTAGTTAATGTTTATGACCATTCTGCTTAGCTATAGATGAACACAGGTGACCATTCTGCTTAGCTATAGATGAACACAGTTGTTCTGCCATGTGTGTTGCATTTCTTAGCAATATTCTAACTAAAAGACTTGATACATTTAATAATTGTAGTCTCTCACCTATTTATTGAAATGATTGTGATCATTTATCATGCTTATTATACTTTACTTTTCAAAATGAGTCAAACCATAACTGAAAAGCCCATTGTAATACTTTAACCTTAACTTTACTCTGAATTACGTGGAAATATATTTTAAGAATAGAATCATCTAGAACATAAAAGATAAAATCCATTTATTTTGGTCTAGTATGGTTTCTCATTTTGGACACTACATTAAAATAACTTTCCTCCTGTTCCTCACAAAACGAAATTACTCTTCCCAGCATGAGGAATTTTATCAGCAACTTAAATGCAAAAATTCAGTAGGCATTGATATTAGTATCATTGAATTTGCATTCCAGCACTTGCAAATTGAATCTCCTGTCACTCTCCATTCTTCCACCCTTTGCTTTGGCTAATAAGACTTGCAAGGAAAAAAAAGAGAAAAGTTGCAGTGAGAATACTGAGTATATTTAAAACTTCTACGTTTAAATACTAGTACTTGTTGCTTATGTCTTAAAATAAATTGTTGCTCTCAGTATAATAAGTATAACCCAATATTAAACCTCAGTATAAAATAAAGGGAGTTTTTAGACAAATCCACAAATAATCAGTGCTCTTTCAGTGACGGACTGTACTTAGATGCTGTTACAACGGTAAGAGAAACTGCAGGTGTTGCTGCAGTGGCAGGTGCAGGTCCATTTCAAACAGGAGGTGAAAGGGAACATCACCATGCAGCTTCATGCTTATACTCCGTGGTATTGGACATCTGTCCCTCTGCAGGTATACCTAGGTGAGAGCATCCCCTGCTAAATCTGTGTGTTACATCCTTTTACACACAGTACTACTTTAAATAGCCTTTTAAAATTTAAGAACAAAGAGGCTTTTGTTTGTTTGTTTGTTTTACCATTTGCAATCGTCTTAACAGGTGGCAAGTTCAAAACCCACAAAAGAAGAAGAATAATTAACTACAAAGGTTGAGCAGCTAAGTTGCTGAAGTCTTGGCACAGCAGGATGTAGATGGTAAAAATACGTAAGTGAATTCATAAAAGAGCAATGCTCTGAGGACTATGAAAACTCAAAAAGACTATGGCTGCCTCAGGAATCACCGAGCACACAATTTGGAGGTTAGAAAAGTGACATGACGGGCCTTGTGATTCGTATACTCTTACCTAGGGATCCACTCTTGTTTGCTATCAGAGACAAGTCATTGAGCTAAAAAACCCCAGTGTATCCATTCATCTGTATCTTCATCTACTTAATCACTTTCCCTTTGACGCTCATCAGCAAAAATGATGTGGACACTCTGACATTTGGGCAGTATTTCCGGTTTGATGTGTCCTCCTCTCCTGTTTTTCTTATCATGTGCTCAATAAGAAGATACAAGTGGGCACCCTGAAGCCAGGTGTTAGGTTACATACGGACT